TCCAGTCCCAAACCATGCATGTAATTTAATTTTTGCATGCAAAATTAAAAGACTACTCTGCAGGCCAGCTAAATGTGAGGGCAGGTTTGTTTGTACTGAACGTGAAAATAATCACCATCAGTGTGGCACAGCATCGTCTTTCTGCTCACGCCGTACGTGTCTTTTTTTTTTCCCCTCAGTTCCAAATTTCATTTGCATGGACCTGGTGAGGCTGAGTGTGGATATTGCAGAAGAGTGATGGCTTCCCTTTCCTATAGAAGCTGAAGGTTCAGAGAGAAGATTAAAGAAGTGTTTGTTATCTCTCTGCACAGGCCTGATAGGAAATTCTCAGAGGGTTTTGGGCTAGACATAAACTCCGTGTGTGCACGAATTTATGTGCTTTTCCTCCTCTCCCCTTCTTTATATCTTGGTTTAAAACGTTTAGCTCCAGATTGGTTGTGCTCGCTGGCTTAAAGAGAATTGTTTCCAGAGCAAAGTGTAAGAATTGGAAGATGTCGGCCGGGTTTAACTAAATGCTTCCCACAGAGCACGGAACTCTCCAGACTGTGATGAAGACCAATCACAGGATACGTGTAACAAGACAAGATGAAGACCTTAAATGTGTCCAGCAGACAATAGGCTGGGGCCCTTTCTTGAGGGTTGACATTGCTAATATTTTATAGTTTCCTCTTAGGAGTGCTCTCTGGGCCTAGGGTTTAGTTCAGTTGGTAGAGCGCCTGCCGAGCATGAACAAAGGCCCCGGTTTGTGCAGCATGGCGGTTGGTATATAGTATCCCATCACTCCAGAAATGGAGGCAGGGGATCAGTAGTTCAAGGTCGTCTTTGTCTACCTAGGGAGTTTGAGGCTAGCCTGAGCCATGTTGAGACCAGACTCAAAAACAAAACAAAATAAAAAAACCGAAAATGTCCTCTGTGGAAAGTAAGTGTTTTTGCTGTGTTTGCTCCTGTTTTTTTAAAGCACACCACTTTAGACTTACTGTATTCATAATATTTGCTGCCGGGCAGTGGTGGCGCTTGCCTTTAATCCCAGCACTTGGGAGGCAGAGGCAGGTGGATTTCTGAGTTTGAGGCCAGCCTGGTCTACAGACTGAGTTCCAGGACAGCCAGGGCTACACAGAGAAACCCTGTCTCGAGAAAAAAAATTTTGAAGGAGGAAGGAAGGAAGGAAGGAAGGAAGGAAGGAAGAAAGAAAGAAAGAAAGAAAGAAAGAAAGAAAGAAAGAAAGAAAGAAAGACAGACAGACCAGGATAGCAAAGAAAAGAAGCAATGTTCGTTCCCAAGTTCAACACATGAGCTTCACCAGATTTTTAAAAAAGTAATACTATTACATACATTTAAAATGTACAAGCCGATGATTTGATATGCATGTATGCATGGCGAGGTGGTAAGCACACAAGTCAATTAGCCCACCCGCCGCCTCCCACCCACAGGTGCTTTTACGGTGAGAATGTGTCAGACCTACTCTCTTGGAAACTTCTAGTTCTGTAATATAGTTTTCTTGACCTGAGTCCCGACTACACATTAATTAGATCCTTTTGCTCTATTCCTCCTTTTTGTTTTTTGTAGTTATTCTTGTTAAGGATTTTAAATTATTGTTTTATTACCATATGGACATGAGTATTTTGTTGTCTGCATGTCTGTACATCATGGGCATGTCTAGTGACTTCAAGGTCAGAAGAGGGCATTGGATTCCCTGGGGTGGAAAGTATAGACAGTTGTGAGCTGCTATGTGGGTGTTGGGAATTGAACTAGGGTCCTCTGGAAGAGCAGACGGGGCTTTTACCTGCTGAGATATCCCTCTAGCCTTTGTTAAGACAGGGTCTTGCTATGTAGCTGAACTGGCCTCAAATTTAGTATCCTCCCTCCTTAGTCCCTTGGAACCGGTGTTACAGGTCTGTGCAACTATATGTAACAATACCTTGCCAAGCTCACACATCACTGGAAGTTTGACAAAGATGTTTAATTACAGTATTATCAAAGATAAAGTTGATTCTGCTATTTAATGTCAACTATGTAAGACAGTCTCCTCATTTGTTCCTGTTTAAATGGACTGTTTCTCTGCCAAGGACTTTCTTAGGATGGTTACTATTGGCAGACACACACTCCCAAGTTTATGTGAACTTATCACACGGTCTGTCTTCTTGACTAACAAGAGAAACCAAGAAACCTGGACATACTAGACGAGGGAACTGAAAACAGATGGTGGTGTAGAGGTAGTGGGAAAAGGAGGCACCAAAAAGGGCTGAGATCACTAACAACATGCTGTAATTATTTAATAGTTTGCTCAGAGTCAGCCTTTTAAAACATGGTTGCTCTGTTTCTGCCCCACCCCAATCCAACAAATAAGAGTAATGTCTCTTGTTGTCAGTAACGTTTTTGGAAAGAGGTGTGTGTGTGTGTGCGTGTGTGTGTATGTGTGTGTTTATACCGTTCTTTTTATTTTATAGTATGTGTGGGAGTGTTTCACCTGCACATATGTCTGCTTGTGTTTATAATATTTTTTGTTGTCGTTAGTTATTGTTTTGCTTTTTGTGTGCATGGGTGTTTTGTCTGCATGTCTGTCTGTCTGTCTGTATATGAAGAGCATGCCTGATACGGACAGAGGTCACAATGACACCCATTTCATCTTGGAACTGAAGCTATAGACGATTGTGAGCCACCATGTGGGTGCTGTGACTCAAACCGAGGTCCTCTGGAAGATCGGCCAGTGCTGCTAACTGCCGAGCCATCTCTGGCCCCCGAATTTCTTTTTATGTTTAATTAGAAGATGAGTAACAGGAAGACTCAGGCACTAGAGCAATGCTTCCCAGAGAAGGCAGAGAGCGGCGGCAGTGGAAAGGTGCTCACCTGCCTGATGATTTGCTCGGTTGGTTGTGGCTTTGATGTATGAAATGTCCTCCACAGACTCATGTGTCCTAACACTGCGGGGAGGTCACAGGCCCTTTAAGAGGCGTGCTGGTAGAAGTAAGGCACTAGGGGCCAATCCTTGGAAGATGGCAGCCCTGGTGGTTTATGCCAAGCTCTCTGCAGCCTTGGTGCTCCCGCTTGCTGCTTGGTTCAGTGTCATCCCTCACCGAGATGGCCTAGATTCCCTCAAATCATAAACCAAAAGCAATGGTTCCTTCCTTCAATGGCTTCTTGTTATGTGTTCAGTCACAGTGCTGAGAAAAGTAAGTAAGCCAACTGTTCCACAGGAAGGACGTTTGTGCTGTTGTCAGCTGCACTGAGCTAGGTAGATACCCACCCACCTTACAGTTACACACAACTGAATTAAATGTCTGCCAGTCCTAGTGTGCATGTGCCTTACACTAGAGGACACCCTTTCTTCCCGGATGCAGAAGCCCCCTGCCTCCCACCTCTGGCTTTCCACCTCTCCGCTCCCCTTTTCTACCACCCTGGCCTTCCTTTGCCCTCTCTCTAGCCTGTCATTTTATATTCCCTTTCACCCAATGATCAGATCAGACTGAGTCTGGGAAAAGCAAACACGAGCTTCCTGCTCAGATTTTGCCTTCTCTAATAACGTCCCTCAAAGCAGCCTCTTCCCCTCTGGTCTCTCACTGTGTCCGTTTTCAGGAGTGGTGAAGAAATTATCTAGATGTGAGGCTGATCTTCCTAATGTAGCCAAACCTAATTTTAGTCATGCTGACACTGGAAGACATCATTGCCACCCAAGTATGGCCTTTCCCTGAACCTTCTGTGGTTATGAACCCTGTTGATTTGATTAAGAATTTGATTTAAAACGTTCACTTTTCCTCCTAGAAAGGCTCGGATGTAGATTCCCAAGAGGCCAAGATGAGAGCAGAAAAACATCCATCCTAGTTTGTGGTGTGGAAGTCTCTATGCCTGTTCCAAGAATTAAGGTGTAGTTCCCACGAGTCTGATGGAGTAGGCTGGGGAGTCTGATGGAGTAGGCTGTGGAAGGGGAGGATATGAGGAGAGCAAGCGTCTGCATATTGCACTCTAACATGAAGAAAAGGGGACAGGAGATGGAGAGGTTGGAGGGATGAGGGGAGGGTGTGCTTCACTTCACAAGAGCACACAGACTGATGGGAAGGGCCAAGATGAGAGGAAGGGCGGCTATCCCCTAGAGGAAAATCAATACAGAATAATGTAAGTTTCCTGTGAAGGCACTAAATAGGCTTTTGTGGGTAACCATCATAAGTGACATTGTTTCTGTTGGAGGAAAAAATGTACCTCAGGTGCCACAGAAGTGATTTACAAGTGGTCCCTTCCATCATGGCTGTTGACTACTTAAGACCTCAAGGGTTATCGGTTTGGCCAATCATTTCACAGTGAGAGGGGAGGAGAAAGTGCAAGGGCCTGCTTCATTTCTTGACTCCTCTACTGCCAGCGTGAGACAACTCTGATTCTGCCATCCAGGCCTCATCTGTTCAGGAGTGAGCGCAGCTGAGGATGCATTCCTGGTCCTGGGGTTTGGGTGGTTATAACCACAGAAGTACCGCTAGGGTTTGCTGCCCAGGCTGGTGGTGCCAATGATGCTGTGACCCACAGGAGAGGTATCTCAGTAAAGAGCCATCTTGCTCAAACTGAGCCATCGTGAGCTTTCCTTCCTAGGTCATCCTAGGTTTTGGTTTAATTTATTTTTATTTTACGTGCATTGATGTTTTGCCTGCATGTATATCTACGTGTCAGAAGCCCTGGAACTGGAGTTACAGACATGTGTGAGCTGGGAATTGAACCTCGGTCCCCTGGAAGAGCAGCCAGTGCTTTTAACCACTGAGCCATCTCTCCAGCCCCCCATCCCCAGTTTGTAAAAGGCACTTTTCTTAGTTGTTACAGCACATTGATGTGGCTTTTAAACCATTAGGAATCTTGAAAACATCAAGGGCAACTTGCTTTTCTTAAAACAAAGCCAAGCTCTGGTTGCCAATGGACTGTTTAGCCAGCTTTTTTTGCATTTGTTCTCCAGACATGGTATATTAACCAAAACTGAGATGTTCAAGTTTGACTGATCTTCACTCTTCCCTCTTGTATTTTAGGTACTGTTGGGATTTTCAGCCCCAAGGTGAGTACTCCTTAACCATAAGTAGTTTTATGTTAAGACTGTGTCCATGGTTTCGTTGTATCTTGTAAGCCTCTCCACAGAGCATGACTGGCCATTTCTGAGCAAAGTCAGTGGAGTGTTTAATTAACCTTCACCCCACTGGGCCCCCCTGCCCTGCTATTTCAGCAACAAGGGGTGCCATGCTTTGCATGGTTGCCGGATTATTTTACAGAAGCAGAGCAATAACATGCATTTTTTTTCCTTGAGTTGTGTTAGATGCCAACAGGATCCTGCAACATTCAAATAGAACACTGCCCAAGTCCATAATAAAATCCTTGGGTGGGTTCCAACTCAGCTAATCCTTCATTTGCCCCAGAAATAAATTCTCATGCGTTCTATCCTCTGTCACCGTGTCCTTCCACACAGACTGTCTGGCAGCAGAGAAATGTCAGAACTGGAGCCATGTTGGAATTCCCACTAGAACAGCGCTATCACATTTTAATATGAGCCTCGCTGCAGCCTCGCAGCTTCTAATTGCTTCCCGACCATTGTTTTCCTGCCTTTTCGTGATGAACCCAGCATCTGGCGCGATTTTGAGAAGCACACCAGACAGCTGTGTGCAAAATTAAAAATAAAGGATGAGATTAGGACACATTTGTAAAAGGTTCAAAGTTGGAATGTTTCTGAAACTTCGAGTACGCGGAGTGGGCATGTGCAGCTCCGTTCGCTCGCCTCCTTGCTACGATGGTTGAGGATGGAGGCTGCAGCGGCGTCCTGGGGGTTCCTTCTCTCAACATAGGAGACAGGGAGGTTTTCGCTTCCTCAGAGACTGGCGGAGTTTTGCGTCACGCTTATGGAACGCATTATGAATTGTTTGGCACCACGACCTTTAAACCCCAGACCATTTCCAGGACCTCTTATTGTCTTTCTACCTCTGTGTACCCCATCAAACTGAGTCTTAATGCTTCCAGGTATTAGTGTTGAGTGATGGTACTAGGTTTTTAAACTAACTCTCTCTCTTTCTCTCTCTCTCTCTCTCTCTCTCTCTCTCTCTCTCTCTCTCTCTCTGTCTGTCTCTCTCTGTGTCTCTGTCTGTCTGTCTGTCTCTCTCTCTGTGTATGTGTCTCTGTCTGTCTCTCTCTCTCTGTCTCTGTCTATCTCTCTCTCTCTCTCTCTGTGTGTGTGTGTGTGTGTGTGTGTGTGTGTGTCTGTCTGTCTGTCTGTCTCTCTCCCTCCCTCTCTGTCTCTCTGTCTCTCTCTGTCTCTCAGTGTACATGCAAGCCAGAGACTGACCTTGGATGTCTTCCCTAACTTATCTCTTTGATTTACTAAGGCGGGGTTTCCCATTGAGCCTGAAGCTTTTCTACTCTATTCCAGCTTTCAGACTGTATTAATTTAAAATTTTACTTTCCTACTTCATATTTTGTTGTAACATATTTTCAGTCTACATAAGACTTTCTTTAGAAGCCAACTTTATTTTTTAATTTTTAAATTTAATTTTTTAAAGTATTTAAAAAAAATTTTTTTTGGGACAGGGCCTCTTCATTTCTCTCTCTCTGGCTGACTTAAAATTTACTCTATAGGCCAGGACTGGCCTCAAACTTACAGAACTTTTCCCAGCTCCTGCTTTCCAAGTGCTGCCACCAAAGATGTGTGCCACCATACCTAACAAAAGCTAGATTTGATAAATATACGAATCATGTTTTAATATAAAAGTCATATGTTTCAAAATGTCATATGTTTGTTTATTTATTTATTTTTATTTTTTTAAGTTTGTGTTAGTTAAAGGCAGTCTCCTGTGTAATCACCTGACTGGCACGGCCACACCGAGACCCTAGGTGGAGTTGTAGGGAGCTATGCGTCCAGCCTTCATAATGCAGTCAGTTTGGTAGAATGTGAGACACATTCAGAGACTCGCCCTCTACTTCAGGGTTTAACAGGTGTTAACCACACCCACAGGGGGCAGGGGATGGTGGCAACGTGTTGGAAATGGACAGAAGAGGGAGCACGTTTCCTAAGGAGAAGAAAGGAATTAGTGTCAGAAGCATGATATAGGAATGTGTTGGGAGGAGAGAATAATTTTGGCCTAGGAGAGGCTCAGGATCCAAACACAGGGCACAACTCTGCGGAGTCTTAGGATAGCGGTACTTCAGTCACGCACGTCTGACACACAAGGACAGTGATCAGAAAGACGCAGAGCAGCCTAATCAGGAAGTAAACTGAGGAATGTCCAACCCAGAGCCCCAGAGCCTTGCTTCTGCTACAGATGCGGGGTGAGGGAGGGGAGTCGTTCTATCAGTTATCACTGGTGTGATGGATGGGAATCATAACTGGTCTATCCAAGGCACTACCTGGACAGGATGAAAAGAACAGGGGCATGCAAGAGACAGCTTGTTTGTTTGTTTTGAGACAGAGTCTCACTATGTAGATCAGGCTAGCCTCAGACTCCGAGATCTGTCTGTTTCTGCCTCCCAAGTGCTAAGATCAAAGGCGTGTGACCATGCCCGGCATGGCAGAAGAATTTAGAAAACCCTAGAAGACTAGGTAGTAATGGGATGATTCCAGTGTGGAAAGACAGATGTGATGATCTCATACTTTACATTGCCTAAAAAAATTGTAAGTAAAAATTTTTAAGAAATCACTTTATTTTTGAATAAAAGTCTTACTGTGTTGTCAGTCTAGATTTAAAGTAAATGCATAGCCCAGGGAGGGCCTGAAACTTGCCATTTTTCTGCCTCAGCATCTTCAGGGCCGAGATTACAGGTGTGCACTACCATGTTGAGCCTTTCTTAGCAGTGTGTTTATAATAATCATGCTGAATTTTCACATCCATTTTCACCCTCTCCTTGTTGGCCCGTTGTCTCCTTCCTCAGTGATTAATCTGTGGATGACAAACTCCTCGGGAGACACTGCACACATGTCCACTCACCCCAGGTAGGGAGACCGTGACACATCAAAGTACCAGGACCAGCAAAGTCTAGCTTGGTAAACCATGAGTCTTATTGGGGTCACTTACAGGAATATGGGTGAGGAGTTACTTACAGGAGCAGAAATGACTCAAAGATAGCTGCATCCCCAAAGCCCACTCCAGCATGGGTGACAGCTCACAAAGCTGGGAACCTGGAGCCCACTGCACAGCCTGCAGCCAGCTCAACAAGTTGGAGAACATCCTTTTTAGGTGTTTCAGTCCGTCTAAACCCCCTCCAGGCAGCTTGGCTGAGTTGAATCTTCTTCACACCCTGGTTTTTCTGAGAGTCTTGTTTGCAGCTTGGTTTATTTCCTCTGGGAGGGAGGGGACTAGTGAATCTGGTCAGTTTCAGGGACTTCCTGAGACTGTAAGTTGTAAGTTGCTTTAAGGAGCTTCCCTGCAAGGAGACATGTTTCAGTCTCATAGGAAGTTGGTTTTTACACAACATCATCTAAAAAGAAAATATAATCCTAAGAATTATTACTTTAATGTAAAGGAAACAAACGGTTTCTTTTTTCGTACTTTAAAAAATATCTATTCATTTAATCCATTCATTTTTCTATCTGTCTAATCCATTTATCTATCTACACACACACACACACACACATGCACACACGCACACACACACACACACCATTGTGGAGATCAAAGGACAACTTGCAAAAATTGGTTCTCTCCTTCCACCATATCCACTATGTGGGTTTGGTGGTTTGAACTCAGGTTGTCAGGCTTGGTAAGAAGCTAGCAAGCTTCTCACCATGCTGAGCCATCTCACCAACCTAGAAAAATTGTCTTGATGAGGTTAAATATAACCGCAGAAAAGGCTTGGTTCTAGGACTTCAGATAGTCACAATAATGCAAGCCCAGCTTTCTTTGAAAACTTCTCTTGTCTTCTTCCTCCCCCTCTTCCTGTCCCTCTTCTCTCTCTTGCTTCTGTCCCTCTTCCTCCCCCTTTTCCTTTTCCTCCTCCTCTTCCTGCCTCTCCTTCTGCCTCTCCTTCTGTCTCTCTTCTTCTCCCTCCTGTCATTCCTCCTCTCCCTTCTTCTTCTTCTTCTTTTCACCGTCTTTGTTACTGGTGTGTGGGTGACGCTGCAGATTCAGTCCAAGGCCTTGCACATGTCACAGAACTACACTCCCAGCGAAAGCAAACAAATGAACAAAAAACCAGCAACCACAAAAAGAGCATATTTTTAACTTAAATTTTCCTTTAGTTACAAAGGAAAGCTGTGAGGAGTTTTCTGTGGAACTGTTCACGCTGTAGCCATCAGAATCTAAAGATGATATTGATCGGCTGTCTAAATAACAATCTGCTTTGACCTTCAAGTTTGATGACAAGATCATCTTAAGTCACGGCACAACTCGATTTTCTTCGTTTTGTTTTGTTTTGCTCTCTCTTTTTTATAAGATGAGTTAATTATTGACAGTTTTAATGCGATAAATCAAAATTTCATGTAGAAAGTATACTGTATATAATTCAAAATGTATTGTCACAAAAATATTTTTTGAACATTAGCTGAATTTCCTATCAGGGATCCAGAGTGTAAAACAAATGTCACAACGCCTAAATAAAAAGTTTGGGCAAGCCAGTAAGACTATTACAGTCATATTTTATGTATTTGCTATTTATTTTCTTTGTTTATTTTTTGTTCAAAGTCCAGGGTGGCCTTGAACTTACTATGCAGTTAACTATAACCTTGAGTTCATGATCCTCCTGCCTCTACCTCCCAAATCCTGGGATTATAGGCATATGCCACCATGCCTCCTGGCTACAAAGGTTATAATTTCATACAGTCATCACTCATGACATTTTGGTCATTTGCAGAAATGTTCTGTCTCTTACCAGCTTGAACATTACGTTGAGGAGCCATATCAATGCTGAAGATCCTGAGAAAATTATCTAGTTTTTTTATATTTAAAGATTCATTTTGCTTTTTTGATTTATATGTGCGTGTGTGCATACACACATATGTGTGAGTACCCGGGGAAGCCAGAGAGGGAGTCAGGCATCCTGGAGCTGCCATTATAGGCAGCTGTGAATTGTCCAACTTGGTTG